AGGCAGAATTAATATTTATATACCACGAAGAATGCAATAATTATAAACCAGACAAAATGTAAGCACGTTATTACGCACACAGGGTTAGTCACCAAAGTGAGAAATGTCAGGAATTCAACTTTTAGGTGAAAGTAGCTGAAGTGGAAACACAGGTCACTTTTCGTAATTTTCCAATTTGCTGCTATGTTTCCAGATATGTAACAGACACCTTGTTATCTTTCGAAGTATCTAGAAGTCGATTTTTGTGTTCTGCAGGTTATCACACATCCATGCTGCCAGTTACCTTGTCAGAATTCTTTGCACTATTACTATATATTATTAATGATAAAATGTACATATATAAAGCTGTCTGTAATTAGAGTCGTGATGTGGTCGCAGTACCTGGAATAAGGGCTACTTTTCAGACAGTTTCCTTTTTACTCACCCCAAACGTGGAGTACGAGGGCGATAACCCAGATTTCTGCAACTGCTTTCAGCATCGTGTCTGTCTACAACGACCACAAGAACGCATCTCTTAATGGGGGAATACAAGCCACATACAAAGCCCCTCCTTTAATTTCATATATAAAGAGGAAAAGGTTTAAATTACATTCAGTATTTGGCAGAATAAGAACGAATTAATTAAACTCAGATTTACAAAATTCGAGTTAAGATCCCTAATCTGGTTATAGCTGAGGTGGAATTTTTATTTTCTCCAAATCAGCTGTTGTTTCCTAAATTTTACAATTTGATATTCAGTTGAATAAAGTCAGTATTTAGTAAATAAACCTCTTAGTGTTTATATATATATATAGCAACACATAATATCATATAAACATATCGTATGTTTCAAACAATAACAGCAATATTTGGTCGGCATTGCAGCGACAGTAAATGCATAACAGCGAAATGGAAAGTAAACTAAACAATGTGGAGCGTCTCGTCTGACTTTGATGTCTGTTATGATTAATCTATTTAGACTTGGCCTGTGTTACCTCTTGTTGATGTCAAGCTTGTCTTGTTGAATCCGGTTTGTCTTCTCCACTTGTAGAATATTGATAGTAATCCGAAAGCTCCTCTGTCTGCGAGGTCCAATGTATAAAGGAAATGAATTGCTGATGTTCCTTTTCGCTTTGTGTTTATTCTTCTTGTTGCTGGGATCACGGAGAAGAGGATCAGATAAAAGTCTTTAAACTCTGACTGTGAATATAAGAAAACAACAGAACGGGAGGTGGTTTTTTTACTAATAAAGCTTTCTTTTGAATTGAATTAGTGCGCTCTATCATGATAAAAGGATGAGATAATCATTTCACACAATAGAAGCAAACGATAAAGGCA